ACTTTTACCCTTCCGATTCTCTCCCCCATCCCACCGGGGGGGGGGAGAGGGAGCGAGCGGCTGGGTTGCCCAGTTGCCGACTGAGGTTAAACCACGACAGCGAGTCTAAGAGTAACTGCAACATGAGGTTATGGAGATTTTACGCTGATGCACTTTAGTTCTAGTGATTGAGTTGTGCATCATACAGTCTTTCTATTTTCCTTTTATTTTGCATTTGTTATTATAAGGCATAGTTAGTTTCCGCTTGTAATTAAGCAAAAACTAAATAGCTCCATATACTGCTTCTTCAGAATAACTGATCTGGATAAATTTCTTTCCACTTTTGGTGAGGAAGATCTACTGTGGAAAATATGGTCAAAGGATGACAGGATAAGTCAAGTTGGAAGCGATTATACCCAAAGCTTCAGGCTTTTTTCCCCCGCACCCCCCTGTCCCCCAACAGCCTAGACTATTAGTTTATTCCTTTCCTTCCTGATACTCTATTATGTAGGCTGAACACCTGTATATGTAGTAAGTTGACCTTTTGTTACTATTTGCAAATGTTATTCAGAATACAGCAAATGCAGAATACATTTAAGTAGATAATCACAATTAGGCAACAGAATGTGACTTGAGTAGTTACACTTAATTTGTTAACCTTGTTTTTCCTAGGTTAGTGTACTGCTTAGTTTTCACTGTAGTGTCTGAGCATCATTCCAGGAGACTGAAGTGAAATCTGTGTAGGTTTTCTGAAATCTGTGAAGTGGTCTTTCTCCATTAATAATCAATGTGACTAAAAGTAAGCAGAATATGAAGTTTAGAATCTGAAATAATGTATTGATAATTAAACTTCATGAATGTCAATCATTTCTTATGGCTGTGCTTGAAAGAAATTTTTTTTTTTTTTTGTGGAGTATATTAAGTATGGTATGAATGCAAATGCTGCAGTGATAGATGTGGTGCTTCTAAACCAAAACTCTAAACAGGAATCGATAAATGTGGGGGGTCTTTTCCTTCTAGTTGTCTGTATGTACACCCACATTTGGATGCTTGTATGATCATTATTCAGACTTTTACAGAACCAGAACACACATTCATATCCCTCCCCTTCAGTTGTTTGGCTGAATTGGAGTGCTTTTCACAAGAAGGGTTTTTTTGTTTTGTTTCAGTTCTCATTTAATTTTGGCATGTGTTTGTTTTGTATAGCATATAGTTTCTTTTGGTTTTATCTTTTTCCTCCTATTTCTTATAAGGTAAGGGAGATCCTAAAGAATTTCCTGTCTAGTTTTATTCTTCTTTTCTTCAGTGTGACCATGCTGCTAGCAAAAGGTTATGTCATATGTCCTGACCATTTTCCAGGACTGAGTTTTAAGATAGGTTTCTGTAGTGCTTAGAAGTAGGTTGCAAGCAAATGAATTTTCATTTGTTTGGGCTTTAAACCTTGGATTTGAAAAGTGTTAGAAAAGCATCTTGGAAGATCTGCTAGCTAACTCTCTGAATTTATTTCTAAGTATTGAAAATCAGGTCACAGTGATTCTAAATCATGTTCAACCTCCATCTATCTGTCAGAACCCATCTGTCTTACTGTTACCAGGTCATACATCTGAAAAAGGTCTCAAAGGACTTGTAAGAGGCAGATCTACTACTAGCTTGGTATCCTGACAGTTAGCCGTAAGTCTACTAGGAATTTAAAGGAGCACCCTTTAGTTGTGGGCTGAGTAAAGCCAGATAAAGGACCCTACTGTTTTGTAAGCTTTTTTTTTAAAAACAACATACCTTAGAGTTGAATTTCAAGGGCTTGCTTTGCTCTAGAGTTCTGCTCCCCGGAACTCACATTTGTGAACAAAGTACCATCTTATTTTCTGGGAGCTTTGTAGCAAGAACCAAACCTTATATTGCAAACCTTAGGCCACTTTTTAATCTTCATCACTAGTGCCCTAAGCACCAAACACCAGCTTCAGTGAGCTAAGCATCAAGTCTCTGTATCAGATAGCTTGAGATGTTTTGTGCTTTCAATCTAGAGAATATAGACGCTTCACCTGAATCAGAATACAGGACGACGCTCTTGGTTCTCCCTTTCTTTTGGTCAAAACAGTTTACCTTGCAGAGTAATCTTTCCACAGACTATGACTGTATTCAATACTAAACCATTGTAAATGGAGGACGGGGAAAGCTCAACAGGATTTCTTCAGGAAATTTATTTAGTTCCCGTACTGCACAAATGTGTTCTTCATCCTTGCAGAAGTACGGTTCCCCTCTCTTCTGTCTGTAGCCTTTCTTACCTTGGACTCTGGTGCCAGCTGCTGCCTCAGACATGTTGACAGTCATAGCTTTAAGCATCACTTCTTTTTCTCCATGACATTTGTCCTTCAACACCAACTCCTTGGTGTCCTAGAAACCTCTAATTTCAGAGGTTTAACAGCCCTTTTTTCTCAGGCTCTGTCCATTCTTTTCTTGGACCGTTTGCTCTGTAACATCTGCTTGATGACTTGTTATCCTTTATAAAGAGGACTTTGGAGGATTTTGTTCAAACTTTTTGAGGCCTTGTGTTGTTTAGCTGACATTCTGCATCATCCATCTGAGGTAAATCAATAGTGTCAGTTCAGAAGCCTTTATGTTTTCGTGGTGAGTCCTGCCTTCCATTGGCCTGTAGGTGGATAGATGTGACAAGTCCCTAAAAAGTTCTGATTTGTAGCAGGCTGTTTTCCCTAGTTGTGTTGCGGACATCTAGGGTTTTTTGAATGCTGAGAAGGGATCCCTGTCTCAGTCACTTTGGGTATCCCATTCACCAAGGCATCTCTAAATTCAGGTCTTGCCTGCAAGTGTTTATATCTCTTCAGGTCATATTAGTGATGAAGAAAAATAATTAGTTTGTGTGATCCACTACAGTTTTGAGAACTCCTCTGTCTCTTAGATTGCTTGATGGTTGTTTGCTATCCCTTATGCCAAACTTTCAGTGGTCAAGTCTGGATGTAGTTTGCACTTTCTGTGAGGACCCAGTATTGGAATCATCACTGGCATCAGCCAGGACATCCCCTAGTAGTTGAAATAGTGAATGTGGTAGAAGGGAGGGTTTTCCTACTGTTATAGCTATATGTATCGGATCCAGGAATAGTTTGCTATATTCCTTAGAGTAAATATTCTATTACAAGAGCAATGATTTTTTTTTTAATTATTGCTTTGAAGACCTATTTTGAAATGAAAAATATAGGGATCATTTAAAATTTGGCTTGTGCTGGCTATTTAATTTTGATGATTCCTTATAAGTGTATTGTTGTACTGTAGAGCACTATGTAATGTTGTGGAATTTTTTTTTTTTGGTGGTGAGAGCTAGAGAGAAAATCTGCTAAACATGTATTGACTTAAAATCACCTACCTTTTGCTTGCTCATAAAGGTGGTTGATTTTATGCAAGTGAGAATTGGTCTGATGATGCACTGTGTACTTGAAAAAGTTATTAGAAGAAAAATAAAAAATAACATTGCCTTTTCAATGGTTGTCTAATGATGTTTTGATGTGTTAGAGCATGTCTTGGATCTATATTTCTCTTAAGAAAATGAAGAAAGACGCATGAAGAAAATGACTTGTTTGAGAGTTTTTTTAAATTTCAGGCAACTAAGGCTGGATTCAAAATCTTCAGACCAGGAGTAAAACAAGATGATGAAAATGGTGGTGGCTGGTTTAGTTGGATATGGAGCTGGTCAGGTGAAAAAAAGAATGAAGAAAAACAAGAAGTAAAGGGTTCAAGTATGTTTATTTATTGGTATTTTTTTCTATTATTAAAAATTACTTATTAGAATAATAGGTCCCTAGCAATGGAACTTTGGATTTTTTTAATATTGGGGCTATCGGATTATTGGTGTTTACATTTTCTCTTGGCCTTTTTTTGCTGATGAAGTTGTTAATTGCACGTTACAGAGGTATCTTACAATGCCTTCCATAGCTCCTTCTGAACTGTCTTCAATTTGTGCTTTCTCCTGCCACAGTTTTCGCAATTGTCTGTATGGTGTACTGTGTATGGGGATTTGAAGAAAGTGCTAGAAGACAGTAACAGTTAATGGAATGTAAACAATTTTATTTCCCTTCATTTTATAATTTGGCTATTTCATGCAGTGTATTAGAGTTTGGTTCACCTAAGTACAGGGCACCTAGTAAGGGTTGTGGAACATGGAAAGTAAATTAAAAAGGTTGCTTCTATTGTTAGCAAGCTAGGATATAGAGTAGGTCAGAATAAAAGTATAACTGCATTTTAAAGCATGTTTTGGGACACTCAAGACTTTGCCTTAAACCTCAGGGTTTTTGCTTTTGCTAATTCAGGACAATGTTGACAGTATCTACTGTATGTTATAGACCTACCAAGCACTGGAAAGTGTGTAATAGTATTTGCATTTTTCAGATACCTATATTGAGTTTAACTAACCTCTTGCAATGTGACAGGTCTTGAAGAGCTGATGACACGTGAAGAGAAGGCTAAACTTTATGCTGCAATTGGATATAGTGAAACAGCTGTGGATCCAACCCTTCCAAAATCAGTAAGTCATAACAGACTATGATACCAAACAATTGGTAGCTTTATCTACCAGTAAAAATCTAAAGATTCTAGGAAATCACTTTTAAAATTACTTGAAGCTCTGTCTTTACATTTGAATATTGTTCTGATACTTTTTAATGAAGTTACTGCATGCTGGCTTTGTGCAGAACAGAGCATCCTTAGATGTAATTTCAGGAGAGTGGTTATAGAGCTTACTTCGGATATTCTGAAAAAGTTCAGGATGAAATTTTGCTTGCTCAAGCTAGAATAAAATCATATAAGTAGTGTATCGTTTAAGTTATGAAATGCTTCATAGTTCCTCTTACAATATTCAGAAACTTTTTAAGATAGTGCACTAAGTGACTCACTGGAGTATTAAATATGAGTGATAGTAGATTAGGTAAGGTAGGTGAGTATATAAGAAAGAAGTGATTGAAGGACTAGTGGGGAAGAGCAACATTTTTGAACCATTCAGAAATAGTCTGATAAGTCATCTTTATGTGAGATACCGTTCATGGTACAATGGACTGCTTTCCAGCTCTACGTCAGAGGCCCTTTATCTCACAATGTGATGTAGAGACATCAAAGACATATGTTTGTAAGCATAGTCTACTCTTACTCTAACCCTGCCTCTTCGTAATAACTATTTGGGAATTACTTTTACACCAGCTATGATACAAGCTATTTATAGCACTAGAAAAATAGTATCAAACTGGTATTTGTGGTTTTAATCTCTTCATAAACTCTATTGAAATATATATTAACATATTTTATAATCCACTGTTGTTATTTTTCCTGCATATCTAGTATGAAGCCATGAAGTTCTCTGTGAAGTTATTAAGCATGTCTATATCAATAAGAGAAAACAAGCAAACTCCTGAGCTGGTAAAATTTGCATTAACTGGCTTGAGTACAGTATTTACCCAACGACCAGGTGCACAAGCAATAAGGTGAACTTTCTCTATCAAACTGTTTTCGCTCCTCATGAAATGTTGGTGATGGCTAATAGGCATTTTAAGGCTCTGTTATGATGTTTAACTTCCATTTTTCACTGTCATTTCTTGTGCAGTTTGGGAGTAGAATCATCCTGCAACTGATGGACAAAGTGAATGGATACTGTTTCCATGATTAAATTCTCTCCGTCTTCAGAATTTTTTGTGCCAATACAGATTTTCTCCCTTTTTTCAGCTTATCATTGTTGTGTACAAGAAATCCAGTTACTAACTTGTTTCTTGCTTCGAAAAGTGACTGTTACTCTTTTTGAAACTTAGTCTGAGCAAGGCAATCTCATAACCGCTTGCGTGTAGGCATTTAACATGACTGAAAAGTTCTTGATTTTTCAGTTGAGCTTTTAGATTTGCAGAAGAAAGCTGTAACTGGTGATTTTGGCTTGATTCTGTGCTCTAACAGTAGATGATGAAAAGCAGTGATATGAAATATTTTATTTTCATTTCAAATGTAATGACTTTAAAAATTTTTAAACCTTGTGCCCTCCAGTTTGGGGCATATTAGTATAATCTATGTATGATACTAAGATACTATTGATCTTACTGAGTTTTATGCATAATTTTTTTTAAGTTTTGCTTGCAGCTTTTCTGTTTGTTTCCCTGTGCATCTAAATGGCCCTAATAATGCTACCATACTGAGAAAAAGGGAAGAAAATGTTATATTTTTACAGTGAAACACTTTGAGTGTTGGGAGATAAAGATCTTCAACTGAGAGCTGTTAAAGAGGTGGACAGAGTATTGAAAAAAAATAAATCCAACACCTAAAAAATACTTCCTCAGAGTAACGAGGCTATTAATCTTGTGCTTCTCTTGTGGTGGTTTTTTTACTTCTCTGCACTGGAACCCTTCCCTCTCTGCTGTATCTCTGTTCCCCAGTGTAAACTGTGGCGTCTAATTCCTGAGCTTATACTGCAGAATTCCCATTTGCATGTCTCTTCCCTGCCCTGACACCTGTCCTCATGAAAAGTGTATGAGGTGAATAACTTGGACCCCCTTTCTTATTTACTCAAGGGTGGGTAATAGAGACAGAAGATAATGAAATGGAAAACAGTTAACGCATGGATATATGTGTTATATCCTTAGACTAAGCTATTTTTATTTGAGGTAGGGTAGAGATACGTATACGTTGTTGTTGTTGTTGTTGTTGTTGTTGTTGTTGTTGTTGTTGTTGTTGTTGTTGTTGTTGTTGTTGTTGTTGTTGTTGTTGTTGTTGTTGTTGTTGTTGTTGTTGTTGTTGTTGTTGTTGTTGTTGTTGTTGTTGTTGTTGTTGTTGTTGTTGTTGTTGTTGTTGTTGTTGTTGTTGTTGTTGTTGTTGTTGTTGTTGTTGTTGTTGTTTTGGTTTTGGTTTTGTTTCTTTCAGCTCATTCCTGTACTCTTACCATCTAATTGTACCTAGCCAGATGGATATTACATCTGAACATGCTGTTACCTTTCTTTACAGATTTGAAACAAAAATTACCTCACTTGAAGTTACAGGCATGTCCCGAGAAAAGTGTACACCCTGTCTCCTATCTTCTCGAACAGTCTACTCAGACAAGAGTACTTCACTCTTAAGCATAATGTTTGAGACTAATCCTTTGGATGAGAAAGCAGATCAAAGGCTTAGAATAGAATCACAGCCGCTGGAAATAGTATATGATGCAGTAAGTAAATATTTGAATAAGATATAATTCTTGAAAAATCTTACTTAATAGTAAATTTGCCATTATAATTTTTGCTTTATTTTAACAGATGACAATAAATAGCTTAGTAGATTTCTTCAGGCCTCCGAAAGATGTACATTTAGAGCAGTTGACATCAGCAACTCTGATGAAGCTTGAAGAGTTCCGTGAAAAAACATCAACAGGCAAGTGCTGCATGCTCCTCGAATTGCACACTCAGACAAATTTTAGATCCTAGGATTATGAAAATATTATATCTTTCCATATGGAGGTGCATGGATCCAAGTCATAGCTTTCTAACACAACACCTAAATAAGTTGAATTCTTCAATCTCATTACAAGGCATTTGTTCTAGGTATTGGATAATTTTATGTCTGTATCTTTTTCAACTTCAACTTTCTATGTAAAATATGTTCCACACCGTGAGGTAGTATTTTAGTATTTATTCTGTTGTACTCCATGCAGAATTAAAAACAGTTTGTTACTTCCAACTTCTCTGTTTTGTTCATCTGAGTATCTAAATGGCCTTAATTGTTTCATACTCTTTAAAAACTGGTGCTGAGATATTGGTCCTCTAATGAAATCCCTAAATCCTTTCCACAGTTGTTGCTTTTCAGGACACTATCTGCCTTTGTCTAAACTGTTTTCCACTTTATTCCTCCATGAATGTTGATTTTGATCTGGATTGACTCAGATCAAGTCATATAAACTATATTTATCTGTCTTCCAGTTACTCAGCATTAAAGCTATTCCTGTAATTTTCATTTCATCCTAGCCTTTTATCTCTAGAGATGTTTTGACATATGAATGAAAATGGTGAATACTTTTAAGACTGAGATTTGTGGAATTAACTTGTTCCAGTAAGGATGTCTAAGGCTTTCTAGATCAGAGGTGTGTCCAGCGCAGTGTCCTGTCTCTGACTGTGGATGGGAGAGGATGCTAAGGGGATATTTCAAATATAAATTCTTTTTAAAAGGAAAACAAAGAATCAATGAATGTTTTTTTTAACCTCATTTAAATTTGTAACCTATTAATATTTAAATTGTACCTTTAAAAAATCTGAATACTTGGTGATAATAAGTGAAAGAAGTTACAGCAAACTCAAGCATAATGTATATTTAATCGGTTGCTTTTATCAAGCTAGTATCAGGAATGAAATCAGAGATCAAATATATTTCTATTCATTAGTTCTTCTTTGACTGAACTGTTTAATTAAGGACTAATGTCAGATTAACCAGTCAAAGTTAGGTGGATCAACTTGCTTGTCTTTTCTATCAGAAACTTCTCCAGCAATACTGAATATATTGATACCACGGGTCATTCCTGAGATTAATTGTATAAAACTTTGCTTAGATTCAATATGCTTGGTTCTCTGCTCATTACCACCAAATACTCTGGTTCTGATCATGATTCTTTTTTTTGTGGAAATATGAAATCATGCTATGTGTCTATTATAATTTAAGCATAGCATTACTTTAAAGGTATATCCAATGATTCTTAACCTTCACAAGAATGCTGAGTAGCCCATAGTAATCTAAAAGCTTGTTCCACTCACAGATGAGAAGCCTGATGGAAATTTCTAAAAATATGCTGTGCATTGCTTGTAAAATCTTGGCTGAGACTTACAAAATTACCAGGGGAAGAAGATTTGATCTGCAGAATATTCTGTTACAGGGAACTACGTTAATCTCAGAGGTAGAATTAAAAAAATTGAATCATATCAATGTAATTAATATGTTCAGACTTGCAGTCCTTCTCAGGAAAGAATTCTTAACAGTTTTCTTTCAAGCAGTAGAAGATAGCTGGAAAATACTGGGGAACTGTGAACCCTAGAAGTGAAGGAACTTGCTACACCAAAATAGTTATGATTTTCAGCACCACTAAAATACATTACAAAAGCTTAGTTTCCCAGAGTTCAATTTATGAACTTAACTACATTCTCTTCCAAAATGAAGGAAAAAAGAAACTCTTTTCTTGAACTTTCTATATCACTCAAATACGGTTAAGCATTGAAAACTGAAAAAATATTAATCTTTTTATTAATCCAAGTTATTTTATCTTGCAAATCCTGAAATGTGGTTGCCATCCAGTTCTCCATTGACTAATGTAGCTCTCCTGTGGCAGGACAACCGTTGATAATATTGGAAAAGTTTTAATTGCTTTCTTACCAATGTGGGTGTGCTGCAGTGTGATGTTGTCATCTTCATAATTCATTGTCTCTGCTTCTGTGATCATCAGCTTGTTGCACCTGGTAAATATTTAATGGGTTGTGGCTGCATCCTAAGGCAGTTTTCAGTGCTAACTTGAAGCAAGACCATTCATTCCTCTTCAGATGAGCAAAAAACCAGAATTTGATCTCAAATGTTCTGACAGTCTGAATTTCCCAACTAGTTGCATGATTTATAGACAGAATTTTTGTAAGACCTTGTATTTGCGGGTCTTCAGCATCTCAAGATGGAGATGCTTGTCAGCAGAATCAGTGTAAACTTCAGTATCTCAGTAGTAACAACACTAGCAGTTTGGCTAGTGCAGTTGGATACTCCCAATATGAACTTCTAGAACAATTAAATTTCTGAATCTCTGAATCTGCAAAGCACAGTGGGTTAACTCAGCAATTGTCAAGTTGCAGTACACATTCCAGTGCTTCTCATTTCATCTCTGGTCAGTATGAAACTTTTTTGGATTTGCATGTGTCGTGTTGCTGTCTCTACTTGTCCATTAGCATTGTTTGCTGTCATCATTTCATCTACTTGGTGCTTCTTTAAAGACTACCTATAATTATTGGTTCAGAAGAAATTTGAAGAGCATCTGTACTTCCAATTAAACTTAGTTTTCTAGCATTCACAGCTCATTTAAAGTTAGACTTGAATTTCTTTTTATAGCTTCTTTTAATTCCGTAGCTTCTGTATGGATTACTTTGTATATATTTACTAATTATATTATTTTTCAGGTTTGTTGTATGTTATTGAAACCCAGAAGGTTCTTGACCTAAAAATTAACCTCATGGCTTCATACATCATTGTTCCACAAAAAGGTTTCTATGACTGTACGTCCAATTTACTACTTCTGGATCTTGGTAGTCTTAAGGTATGTATTTACCTAATGAAGTAACTTACTGAAAATGATAGTTCAGCTTTTATGTAATGTCCGGTTTCTTAATTTGTATTTTGTGGTCCTGGCTAAGTAACTTCCTCTTGCAGTTTATGTATTAGGTCATAATTTTAAATTGCTTTCCAGTGAAGGCAGAAGTTATTGAACTCTTCTCAGTAGATTCTTTCTACCCAAAAGAATTGTTAGAAAATAATACTCCCTTGGAATAAAACCACTGTTGATGCTTTGAACTGTTACGTGGAAAATGTCTAACGATTTTTTTACCCTAGAATATAAAATAGTAAACTTTTCACTTACATGATTAAATGGTCTTCTTATTTTTAATATTAGTATTATTTGTGTTATCAATTACTTTTTGGACATTCAGTTTACTTTAAAACGAGAAAAGTAAACATATTGGCAATTTATAAAATAACTTGGATAAAATTAGAGATATGTTTGAGATACTTCATGCAAGGGAAAAGTCAAAAAGGTAGTTTAATGATGTATTTAAAATTATAATTTAGCACTATAAAATCATAGAAGAGACTGTTTCTGTATATTATTAGCAATCTTACTCATTGGTGAACTTGTGTTCTGTCAGTGTGAATAGTATTACATGTATACAGGCAATTTAATTTTTTTTTTTTACTTGTACTCTGGCTAAGAATGATTCTGCCACTTACTATCTGTTTACATTGCCTTATCTGCTTTTTAATAAGAATTTGTTTCAAAGCTTAAAACCTTGCTACAGTGAAGTAAGTTTTCTATGTCTCTGTCACAGACTGACTTTCTGAGCATGTGGGTTTCAGTTAGAATCATAGAATAGTTTGGGTTGGAAGCAACCTCTAAAGGTCATCTAGTCCAACCCCCCTGCCCTGGGCAGGGACATCTTCAACTAGATCAGGTTGCTCAGAGCCCCGTCCAACCTGACCTGGAATGTTTCCAGGGATGGGGCATCTACCACTTCTCTGGGCAACCTGTTCCAGTGCTTCACCACCCTCAGCGTAAAAAATTTCTTCCTCATATCTAGTCTAAATCTACCCTCTTTTAGTTTAAAACCATTACCCCTTGTCCTATTGCAACAGGCCCTGCTAAAAAGTCTCTTTCCATCTTTCTTGGAAGCCCTTTTTATATATTGAAAGGCTGCAGTAACGTCTCCCCGGAGCTTTCTCTTCTCCAGGCTGAACGACCCCAACTGTCTCAGCCTGGCTTCATAAGAGAGGTGTTCCATCCCCCTGATCATTTTTGTGGCCCTCTTCTGGACCCACTCCAACAGGTCCGTGTCTTTCCTGTGCTGAGGGCTCCAGAGCTGGACACAGTACTCCAGGTGGGGTCTCACCAGAGCAGAGTAGAGGGGCAGAATCACCTCCCTCGACTTGCTGGCCACGCTTCTTTTGATGGAGGCCAGGATGCAGTTGACTTTCTGGGCTGCAAGCGCACGTTGCCAGCTCATGGCCAGCTTTTCATCCACCAGTACCCCCAGGTCCTTCTCGGCAGGGCTGCTCTCAATCCTTTCATCCCCCAGCCTGTGTTGATACCGAGGGCTGCCCCAACCCGGGTGCAGGACCTTGCGCTTGGCCTTGTTGAAAAAGAATATATCAGGTGCTTCAGAAAGTGGAATTAGTGAAAAACATTGCTGTGTAGATACTAAAAATAATTTGGATTACAACCAGATCACTTATTTCAGTGACTAATAATTTTACCACCTCTTCTGAATGCTGGTCATTTGTGGGCACTTTGTAGAGTTCAGTAATCAATCTGTATATTGGTTGGGTGCTTGAGACAGCCTCCTAGATCTAATGGAGGAGGGGAATAGAACAGCTCACCTCCTCTACTCCATCCAGGGGAAATTACTCCCAGAATAATACATAGAAGAATACATTTCATAATCAGACTCCAGTAAATGGGTCTGTGAGATTTTTTTTTTCTGAAATGGATAATTTTCATAGTGAATGTGACTCTTGGATTGGTTCCTGTCCTTTAATAGAAATTAGAAAGCAAGAGGAAGGAATTGGGCAATACCAAAAGAGAAGAGTTAGATGCCTCTCAGGATATGATTAATGATTCTGTGTTCGCTTTGGGTGACATATGCTTAAGTGAGATGTAGGTCATTCATTGAATGAGTATGTTTAAGACAAAACAAATAGTCTCTTTTCCCTCAGTTATGTAATGGATAAGGTCAAGCCCCAGGGGGGAAAATGGCATATAAAATTAAAACTGTATCTCAATGCAGATACATAAGTGGACTTAATTAAGGTTGCACAGGCAATATTAATTTGGTAATTCTGAATTTTCAATCTGCAAGTTATTTTTAATGTAAAAATAGTCATAGTTCAGTAACACTGGAAAAAGAAATGCTATGTCTTAGACACTAGTATTTAAACCTGTTTCACGGTTATGAACCTTATCTTGAATATTATCTGGGTTTGACAAAAACAGGTATGGATCCAAAATTGTTAGACATTTAAGGATGAGGACAGCCACAGTTCATCAGAGATGAATAGCAGAGAGGGCACATACAAATGTGAAATACCAAAGAAGTATGGGCATCCCAAAGCTGAGTCAAAGGGATATTGACTGATATTAAAGAAAAGACATTGAACGTTGATGATGAACGGTCCAAATCCCCTTTTCCCTTTTACTCTGTTTGACTAATATGTAACAGGGTAATGCCACAACTAAATTCAACAGAATTCAAAAACAGATTTCATGTTTCTGAGGTGATTAATGCAGTAATATTTTATGGGCATCCCAAAGCTGAGTCAAAGGGATATTGACTGATATTAAAGAAAAGACATTGAACGTTGATGATGAACGGTCCAAATCCCCTTTTCCCTTTTACTCTGTTTGACTAATATGTAACAGGGTAATGCCACAACTAAATTCAACAGAATTCAAAAACAGATTTCATGTTTCTGAGGTGATTAATGCAGTAATATTTTTATATATTAAATAACCAAAGAGTTATTCTACTGATTACAAAGGGTTTGAGACTTTGGGTTATGAGTCACTTATTAAAGGAAATTATTTTATACAAAACATATTGTATAAAACTTCATAGATTTTAGTTCATTTTTTATTTTGTTTCTTTCCTTGAAGAAGAAATGGAGTTTAGTATTCTCCATTTTTTGTTTTGGTACAGGCTACTAATTTTAGATATCTCCTCTGCTGTGATATTTGTAAGACTCTGTGCCCTTGTAATGAGGACTTAAATTTAATCTTTTGTTGTCATAGGATCAAGTATTTGTAGAATTAGTGCTTTGAATATTTTTGGAATTGATTTATGCTTTTTTGTGACTTTTTAAGATGAAAAGCAAAAGTCGTTCTGGTATATCAGAACTCAAAGTAGGACAAAGCACTATTGAAGATATAATGTCAAGAGCTTATGACAGTTTTGATATCCAGCTCAGCAGTATACAGTTACTGTACAGCAAACATGGTAAGTATTCATGAAAGCAATCTTTCTCTATATGAGTAAAAATATTTTGATGGTTGATGTGCCTTTTATATTTTTAACTGAAGCAGTGGAGAATCTTTGGAACATACTTCTTTAAACTCATGTCTAAACTCAGTCCTATGAAGATGTTACGAATTTCCAAAACACATCTTTAGGCCTTAGATTCCAACCTTAACTTTTGCTAAATAAATAAACTTAGAATAAATCCCTTATTTTTGAAGATGTCTCATTTGATTTGCTGCATAATAAATATAGGAGTGTAATTAATTAATTGATGGTATTTTCCTTCAGTGCCTTTTCCTTGCTTCCCTCCAAATTTAAAGCAGAATCCACAAATTGTTGTAGGTCTGATTATTTTGTGAGGGTAAGGAAAGGATCAGAATCCCTTATTGAAGAAAACTTTTACTAGTAGTTTGGGAACTAACAATATAGAAGGAGACAGAACCAGAGAGATCTTAAGCATTTAATTCTTAACCCTCTGATTCCAGAGGGGAATCCAGAGCCTAAACTCACAGTACCATGCATGTTAAGAATTGGGCCCTTAGAAGTTTGCAGCATAGATGGGGTAGCTGTTCAAATGTGAACGGCAGAAATTATTAAGTAGTCTTGTATGTCTGAAGTTTGGATCTTGTGTAATATACATGTATTGGTAGAGCTGTAAAAGAGATTGTGTCACCTCAATTTTTAGCGATATATACTAACTAACATCAGATACTTTAATTCTATGATACATGTAATGAGAAGGACTCTCTTTCAGTGTTTAAAACGTAGGTTTTCTTTGCTCTTCTAGATGAGAACTGGCAAGAGGCTCGGAAGCTGAAATATTCATCTCAACATATCTTGCAGCCCTTGGATGTAAAAGTGGAATTTAGCAGGGCTATGGTTGTTACAGATGCAAGAATGCCCAAGTATGTGTTTTCTCCTATTTTGAAATTTTATGGTAAATGACTTTTTAGGGGAAAAAAAGAAAAAATCAAGGACCTAATTATACTTGTGCTATTTTACATCAGCCATGTGTGAATCTTGGAAATAAAATACCTTCATCGAGAAAAATAGAGAATAAACCCAAGAAGTTGCCAGATATTAAAGAGGTGATAGAAGGTTACATTGTAATAAAATAAGTATGCATAATATATTTAAAGATTTTTGTTAAAGATATTAATACCTGTTCTAATTAGGTCTTTCTAATAGCTATATTTTAGTTCTCATTGGAAATACTGAGGAGCAAAAAATCTGAACTTACAAAGTCTCTTTTATAAACATCACAAAAATATTCTGAAAAGTAACATGCTGTCATACTCCCTCTCTTTCACTTAGGTTGTTCATCTTGTTTACCTACTAGAGATCATTTCTCAGGGAAACAGCTCTTAATGCATTGAGTTTGCACTTAGGCTTATTTAGCAAAAAACCTACTGGTTATGGAAATTGTACTCAATCAGAAGAAAATGTATGTTACTATTAATGATGAAACTTTGATGTTAAAGTCACTGAGTCAAAGTGGCAAAGATTAACTGCATGTATTTTGGAAAGCGCATCTTCACTAATGTCTGATACGGACACTATTATCTAAAAAAATCCAATCAGTTTTGAAGTACTTGCACATTAATGCATTACGAGGTAATTTGGTTTATTAAGTCATTAATAAGAATCATATTCCTATGCTACAACAAGCTAGCATATGGTTATTTCATTCTCAGCACTGTTGGAAATTCAGATTTTAATTTTTTCAGAAAATTAATGGCATACAAATAGACCTAGGCTATTGCAGAAAATTGTTCAGTACAATCAGCAAAATCAAGAGGCAGTTTATGAAATAAAAGAATTATGAAGAATCTAGGGTTTGCTTAGTCGGGGAAAAAAAACCCTAAAAATAATGTACCTCACCAGTGCTGTGTATTGTGAACGCAGATCAATTGATTGCATGGTATAATGGTGCCACCTTCTGGAACACTGGGAGGCCAGATTCTGAATTTTGATGCTTGACTTTACAAAACATCTTATTCTTTCCCTCCTTACTTTTTCTCTGTTTGGTGGAGAAGGTGAGATAAGGGAAATAGAACTCACAGGAATCTGTCTTTTTATGTCAGGAAGTCCAGGGAGGGAAAGTGAGATTTCATTTCTGTGATCATATAACAATGTCATTTTAATGTAGGTTTGTAATCGACATCTCTCCAAGTTATGCTAGTATAACCTGGATTAAGGAGTGTCAGCTCTTAATGAGAATACCTATTGCAGTATTGTAGTACTACCTGTCTACCTGTCTTAGCCACCAGGTGTGCTTTTCCTTTTGGCAGTTTATGTGTCTAGACTGATTCTGGGAAATTTTTCCCTAATGGATATTATTTCTGTATTCTGAATTTTCATACAATCACTTACTTGACAGTAAATAGTTTCTACCTGTGTCTATAAATTGGCAAATTTTTTTTCCATGGAGATAGTAACATTTCTTGAAGATCAGCTGCTGCTTCTTTCTGAGTGCCTGCGCTGCCTACAACTGTTAGGAATGCCACAGACAGCAGTTTGGTACTAGATAAGCATATACCACAGTGAGTTACTAATCATAACTAATACTATAACCTGCAACAAGAGCAAGTATCCATTTCAAATCTAGCATGTTGACACTATGACTCAAGAACAGCTGAACTTGTTCATTTTGTACCTGGTTCAGTCTCCAAATGCTTCCAGGATGTATTCTGCAGATGGTATTATAGTACTCCAGAGTCATCTACCAGTCTTGAAATGACTGGTACAGCAGCTTTTTACCTGATGGTGGAGATGTGACCTTTTCTTTAAGGGCTTGCTGCTCTTCCTTCTTGCTTTGAGCTCTTTAAAATTCTGAAGTCTGAAAATCATGAACTTTTGTATAATGTATATCTGGTTAGGATCGTATGATAAATTTTTACATTTGGTTATATACCTCCCAAACCAATTAAAACTACGAATGTTCTATTTTCTGTTGGTCTCTAGCTTTGACTGCTCAAACTCATCAATACTATCAGTATCAACGTAGCTTCAAATGCCAAATGTCTCATTATCACTGCATAATCTCTTTTTGTTTTTAAGAATGGTCAGTTAATGAGTGTTTATGTACAAATATTTAGGCCCATGTGATCTCTAGATGACATCGTGCACAAATGATGAGAATTAACTGATAACTTTTGTGTCAGCAAAAGTCCTCTAAACTGTAAATGTTAGTAATTATAGTTGAATAGGGTATTATGCATCAGTATTGCTCACGTTACACATATGAATGTATTTTTAGTATACATGAGCTATTCCTTTATATTCCACTCTTTATAAGTATGCTTGCATATAAAGACAGCATTATATTTTTCCTGAGCTTTTTTTAATTAATGTTTGGAATGGTGCTGTAGAACAGCATAGTTCTGTTGAGAAAGGTGAGTGGAAAAATGTTTGTTCTACAGCAAAAACTAGTACCAAAATTGCTTTGCTTACCGTAGTAGAATTTTATGAATGAGTCCCTTAGTTTGGAGGGCACCTGTTTTACTTTAAGGTATCTAAAAGCAGGTAATTGGATGTCTGTATCTTTTTCATTCTTTGATGTTTGTACTTCCTTGGTTGACCATTGAATCCAGTTGAATTCCTTGTGATTTTGTTGTTGAAAAGCAATAATGAATTCACCAGGACTTGGTGCTGGCTTTGTTTAGGAAGGCACAGTTCTATATGGCTGCCTTGAAGAGAATGCTAATTTATGTAATTTTCATTTGTTGAAGACCACTGTATCAAGGGCCTTTCACTGTTAACCTGTATTTTCATCTGCTCATGTTTCCTAACCCTTAAAATGGGCTTTCACTCTGTGGTTGGATCTGAATATCTGCCTTCCTTTCATTTCTGAGAATAGGATGTACTGCTCGTTATAGTTGCTGTCACTTCACACTTGGAAGCACTAATACGATTCTGTATTTTTCTAGCCTGTGTAAGTTTTTTTAATTGTTTGTTTTATCCTGTGATATGGTTGCCCCATTTTCTGAAGGAGGTGTCTGTGAGTCTGTCATCTGGTTTTTGAAGGTGTATGAAGCCAGTATTAGAATACCAGTATTAAGAGCATCCTTCCATATAATAGCATTCATTTAAAAAAAAAAACAAAAACAAAACAATTTGAAGGAATGTACTTATTTGCAGCTTTGAAAATGGCATCCTTAACATTTCCTTATCTCTAAATATAACAGTCTGAACTTGGAAGAAGTTTCTGCACAGATTTCCTCATCAATTGAAGTACTTAGCTCCTCCATCCCTCAGTCTCTACAAATGGGGAATAATTGTATTCCACTTCCAGAGGTTTTCTGAACCTTAAAAGCTTTTGTAGTAGTGTAGTGAGTCTGGGATTATTTGCAGTTATCTGCCTTGTATCTGCTAAGTGCCTTCCATGTAACTGCATGGGCTGTCCATTGTACAAACATTAATCAAAAATGTCTTAATAGTATACATGAATTTTTGTAGGGAGGTTTAAGTGCAACGGAAGTGAGAATTGCTAAGTGTCCTAGGTTATTGGAGCATTCAAGCAGTAGATGGACAGGTCCTTTCAGACCTGGCAGATACACTGCTACCTTGCCCCTCTCCATGAAAATAAAAGAAGAAAAAAGAAAAAAAAAAGGTCTAAATTTCTCTCTGACAGAACTGGAATTAAGAATAAAAGGCAAAAGTAGTTGAGAATTAATTCCTTAAGAATTTAAGGATGTGTAGAAATTAATAAACTGTAGAAAACTAGGTACTTACTGTTACAGTTTAACACATACAACTTTGTGCTTGGCTTGCACAGGTATGAAGAGCTGTTTTCCCAGTTACTCTTGTAGTCTCAAAGTTAGTTGAGGGTGACTGAAAACTTTGGGGTTTTTGTCCTTACATCTTCTCCAGTGTATTATATTGTACGTTCCTTTGAAGCTTGAGCTGTGAGTTAAGCACAGGAAAACTGGGAGGAAATAGCAGGTCCTGTTCCTTACACCCCAGGTGTTAAGCATCTGCTGGTGCCTATTGTTGGAGACAGTTGTCTTATTGAACAGACCTCTTTATCTGTTCTAACTGGATGTCGTAATAAAAGCATAATAATGTTCTTGGAGCCAGTTTTCTGCTTAGTTCTGTTCTGCTTACTTCTGTGAGAAACTGGGATGGGTTTTAGGTCTTTAAAAAGTCAGTGTCTACATTTGAAGTGATTCTACTACTTTTTGGCCAAAGCCTATTCAAACAGGCTTAAAATATGTTTTACTGTTTTAATTTTTAAATACTTTTTTTATTCTTTTATGTCCTATAAAGGACATATGAGACTACTGCTAGACTCAGCTTAAATATACATAACTTCTAGGAAATATTTGTATACTTGCTTGAGGTTTTGGGCTGTAAACATCTTATGCAAAAAAAAAAAATCTTCTGTAAAATACTGTGTAAAGGCTCAGTGATGTGCTTTATTATAAGTAATTAAATTAAATATACAAACGAGGGAACAATTCCTGATTGTGAGGAAAATATGCTTTATGTAGCCAAATCAGAAGTGGTTATTAGTATTAATTGCAGTGCTGATCCTCAAGACATTGTATCAAATGGAAATATAAATTACATTAATAACTGGATATTTGCTTGTTAAGTAACTCTTCTGTGTGCAACAGAAGTTAAATGTATATATGTGTGTGTGTGTATATATATATTACACGCAATGGTTAGATGAGTGATTTTCTGACCAGGAAGACTTCTGTGTTTTTCAGAAGAAAATTAGTGTAAATTTTGAATGAAATAGTTTTAAGATAACTTTGATTGTTTACTAAACAGGTTCAAACTGTCTGGACAGCTGCCTTTACTTTCTATCCAAATATCAGACCAGAAGCTGACAAGTATCTTGGAGCTAATTGATAGCATTCCTAAGCCAGAAAGTGCTCCTGCTACCAGTTCTCCTCCAAAAATAACTGAGGTAAGGTTTTTAAAAAATGTTTCATTAATAATTATCAGAAAAATACCTTCTTGCTATTAGCATTGCAGTTTTGAAAGGAGCACAAGGAAGTGGAGAAGAGCACTTACTTAGTACCTCTTGAAAAACTTAGCTCATTCTCTAAAGGTATAGAAATTTTGCTTGTTATTTAGTTAGTTTATTGTGATCTTTAGCCAATAGTTATGAAATAGTTGTCCAGTGGTTGAATTTAAAATACAAACCCTCCAAACTTTTACTACTCTGGGAATTGCTTTGTAGTTCATACTAATCTTCATTAACAAACTTACTCCCTTTTGTTGAGGATTAGTTTAATTGTACCTTCAAATTTACACACATGTAGAGTGCTGCAGAGTTTGGGTTCAAGCTAATTTGTTTAGCAAAGAAAAGGTTGAAACCTTGGAATTTTTAAAGTTGAAGTATTATGTGAATCTTGGTCAGACAGGAGTTTAACTTTCAAAAACAAACAAAAAATAGCCACTATCTGTGGCTAATGTTGGCTAAACAGTGCCTGCCTGACAAAAGTGGCAGCTGCATTTCAGCTGATTTCACTGCTCTTCCCAGCCTTTCTTTATTCAGTTATAAAACATACCCGAGTAGGTGGCAGTTCTGCCTTGTATTTCTAAGGTTTAAGAGTGTGGAGTGAGTTCCCTCCCTACTTCCCCACCCCCTTTCCTTAGTGAAAATGGTTTGGGTCACTGTTCTATGCTTTCTTCGGGACAGAGGATTGCCACTTTCTTGTTATTATTACTGAAAAGTATGTTTTACCTTTTGATATGAGCCGTTTTTAACAAAGCTAGGAAATGAATGCCAAATTGCTAATTTTTAACATCACTCTAGTCTGTGTGGTCTGGCTATGTTTTATATAGCTTTAAAGCAGTCCTATCATTTGAACATATGTGAAATCTCAAGGTCAAAGACAAAATTACAGGGGCACGATCACTTCCCTACTCCTGTTGGCCACGCTATTTCTGATACAGGCCAGGATGCCATTGGCCTTCTCATCATTTGAACATATGTGAAATCTCAAGGTCAAAGACAAAATTGCGCTATCCATTTTTCTGTCATTTGTAAATACTTCTAATTATCTGTTATTTAATCTTTTGAGTACTTGATTCTAAAAGAATAATGGTCATCTTTGTGGTTTCTTTTTTTTTTAAGGTTACTTAATAATTATCTTTCCATCTTTATACAAATTACCTGATGGCTGTTGCTGCAGTTTTGGTGTTGTTTTCTGTGGGTTATGTTAGTATAATATTCACTAACTAAATGCGCATGACTAGACAAGCATACCTATTGAAAGTATATATAGAGTGAAGATTGTTTCCCTTCAACATGTAGTTCCTGCCAACTCTTTAGTGGCGCCGTTAAAATTCTAGCTGGTTCTGACCTGCTCTTTCACTCTTTATATACTGATGGTATCACCAGCCAAAAGCTGCCCTAGTCTCTGTTGTTTTGTGCAACTAGTCACAGACAAACTTTCTTCAAGGATAAGTGATGGGGTTTTGGTTTTACATAAATAAAATGTGCACATATAAGATGATTATCCTGTACTTTATAACATTGCCAATACTTGAATGTAATTATAGAATTCAACTATTACATTTAAAATATTTTAAGTGACTTTGATGTGCTTAGTATTACCTGTACATTACTTGTGACATACAAGATGAGGTGAGTAAAGACTGTTGAGCCAACGTGAATGTATGTGTATTATATGCAGCATCCATATTAAAACCTGTGGTTAAACCTGTCTGCTCAATCCTCCATCTACTGCAGAGCTTGACAGACTCTAATTGCTGGTATTAAATTCAGTTAATTTGAGTGGATTTGCTGCTCTGGTGGTGGTAGCTTGGTCCCATGCTTTCATCCTTGAGGCTGACATCCTTCTGAGCTTTGTTGCCATCACATCACTTCTGAACCAAAAAGGATATGAAATCCTTTTCCAGAGCTCCGCATGTGAACTTTGTTCTTTACATTTTGAGTTAGTGGAGGAGTTGTTCTTGGGCTGCAAAAGCAGAAGACTCTTCAGAACAGATCCTTCAAGGTTTTTGCACCCTGCCCTTTCTTGTACTTTAGTACAAGGCGGCTGTCCACTTCAGTGTGGAAGGCTTTATTTCTTATGATGGTACTGTGAAGTCAAGTCTCACAGTTTCTTCTCCTTGTTTTCTTAGAACGTGAAAGTGTTACAGATGAGACACTTTCACAGTTACAAGAGTCTTAGAGATTTGGTGTATCTATCACTCATGGACATGGATATATTCAGTAAGGTCAAGTTATGTAGGATGGAGACTGAGAAGAGAGACTGTTAAAATGTGAAGAGTGAGATGAAAAATGGAGCCTTGGAAACAACGTTCAAAGATGAATGTTTCTTTGTTGCCATAATACTTAGATTTCTGTAAAATACTGTGAGTTATTGAATAATTGTCTGAGACTGGGCTTTGAAAGTAGCAGTAACAGGGGAAAAGAAAAAAAAGAAAAAGAACTACTGCAGTCTGCGCAGTCCAGAGCCAAAGGCATTCAAGAATGGGCACACAAACAACGTGCAGGTTTCTCCTTAATTTAGTACTCTGTACAAGGCACATGTGTACTAAATATACATGTGGAACATGCAGATGAGAATTCTTTACAAACTCAAACCACCAAGACTACTTTATGAGGCTTGATGGGAAATCTGGCTTTGGTGAATAAACCATTAGGTTACCTTCACTAAGAGAATTTAATTCTGTCATATATAATTCTACATGGAGTGAGGATTCTTGTCCTTTTGTCCACTCTAGTGGCAAAACAGTAACATTTCACACGTTTTCAGTTACTTCTCTGGGTTGTGCATAACTGCATCTCACAATTATGACTTTACTAGCATCTGTTTTTACAGATACATGGAGAAATGAGATTCAACAAGGCTAAATACTGGGTCCTGCACTTGGGTCATAAAAACCCCATGCAACGCTACAGGCTTGGGGAAGAGTGGCTGGAAAGCTGCCCAGTGGGAAAGGATCTGGGGGTGTTGGTCAACAGCCGGCTGAATATGAGCCGACAGTGTGCCCAGGTGGCCAAGAAGGTCAACAGCATCCTGGCTGTATCAGAAACCGTGTGGCCAGCAGGAGTAGGGAAGTGATCGTGCCCCTCTACTCGGCACTGGCCCCTCACTACAAGACATTGAGGTGCTGGAGCGTGTCCAAAGAAGAGCAATGAAGCTGGTGAAGGGTCTAGAGCACAAGTCTTATGAGGAGCGGCTGAGGGAACTGAGG